CAGTTTGGCGATGCCCTTGCAACACTTTGGCGGTTTGACGCAATGCTGCAGACAAGGACAGGCATATTCCGACGCGAGAGAAACGCAGCTGGAGCGATCAATTTGTCTCGCTTTGTTTATTGCGCTGTGCGGCTGCACCGACAAGGACGGGTATAGACAAATTTGCTGTGTGCATTTTGGCGTCGCCGAACTCGCCCAGAAGAAAACAGGAAAATCATTTAAATCCCACAACCAATTAAATTGGCTTTTATTAAAAAGGTTGGGTCCTAGTTAAACAGAAATCAAATAAATTGCAGGATTTCTAAATTCGGTTCACCTTCCCGGTCTAACTTAAACATCAAGTTTCATCAACTTTTGAGGCCATTCCTGGAACTAATGGATTTTTCGGGTTTTTAGGCCGTCGTTCGGTAGAATTTCTTCTGAAGATGCAAGGCACTCGTGCTTGTGAAACGTCAAGAAGAAATTCCAGCGAACGATGGCCTAAAAACCCGAAAAACCCATTAGTATCATACTTATACCTGGACCATAAATTGAAATGGTCATTATTTGCGATTTTCGTCTCTGAACCTCCCAATTTGATCGATGGGTTCCTTAGTTAGCATTGACGCATTTCTCGATTTCTGCCATAATTCGCCATTGGGCCTGATTAGTACAACTGGTGGTTCGATAAAAAGCGCTGGCAGGAAATTCGAGAACATCCAAATCATCGTTCCGATGATAAATCATTAGTGCGGATAAATTCCCTTTTGTAACTGTGCTTCGACAATTTGCCTTGATGAATGCGGGAGGGAACAACCGTTACGAGATCGACCGAATAACGCGTAGTGAAAATTCGATTTTTTCATGGATTGTGCAAAAACAATCACGTCCCAACGACCAGACGTAGTTGACTTTGGATGTGCGTGTGATTGTTTTAGCGAACCAATTAAACCCGTTAATAAAATAAATTCCCCCATGTCATAAATTGCAAAGCTATTGGCCATCCATCCATCATCAGGCTTTTTTCCTCTTGTATACATATTGTGCATAATTAATTTTTTCGCTCTGCTATAACAAGCCTGTTCTTTGTACGGGTTTTTTTCGGTGAATCCTTGGACAAATACACTATCAAGTGATGATGCTTCGGCCAATTGAGCTCAGCCCAAGGAAGTTTGGTAATTAAATCGACAAACAATCGATCGCTCAACGGCGAATATCAATTTTCGGTTATAAATTTGAAAACGATTAGACACGGTTTTCAGTAATCACCGCCCATGGAGAGGCACAATTAACTATGAAGGGGCGTATAATCAATGGAACACGGCAAATATCTTGGTTGAAGATTCCTCTTCCTGCTCCTTTGCTGGTTTGGTTTGGTTATTTTGCCCTTATTACGGTCTTCATGGTACATCCGGGCTTTGTCGCAAACGGCAACGACAGCGATTCGAAAAAACAGTTAAACCATAAAGTTTCACTCGAGTAATTTCGAAATAAAGTGAGTGACGATGGTTCTCTGGTCGTGGCAACAAATATAAACAAAGGCTTGGCATCATGAGAAGATGGAACCTTTTCATGTGTGACTATTCGACACGCATCTGTGATCGAACTTAATTATAACCCCATGCTGGAAGACAAATAACTGAACCTGTGCCGCGAGATTATAAAGTAAAATTGTGATCTTCGGTTCCGGGTTCCTGATGAAGACTGCCGATTATTTGGTTCACTTCAGGTTGATAAATTGTCGGAATAGTTGCTGGTACTGGGTATGTTACCCAACAAGCCTTATTGAAGAATTAATGGCATTTATTTATGTAGTTTGTTGCAAATTGGAGGTATGTTTCGATGCGACTGGACGATCTAAGCAACTATTTGCTGCGCTAAACCCCATTTAGATTGGTCAATATTGGCAGGCAACTCGCACGCAAAAGGAATTCTGCCTCTTCAGTAATAACCCGACACCATTTCTAGTGTCATAGACTTCTTGTGCTATTTGCGCTCATCCGGGCATATGCAAGACGAGCATTCCAGCACAAATTTTTCGAAAACTGCGGATTTTCTTCTACTCGTTAGTCCATTGTTGCACCTACAGGCTTTTTTCAACGGACTATCGCAGATAAAGTAGGTGGAAGGCTGAGCATAGAAACAGCAGAAATACATTATGGTGGTGTCATGAAAACACCGGCCAGACGAAATGATTCGAAAGTGAACACTATTCCATATTTGTGCGGCGGCAAAGTGGAACGCGAGTCTTTCTATGCGATAACGATTCCTGCAAACATGGGGGCGAAAATGGCAAAGATTAATTAACAGCCAGCCGTTGCTGATACGTTGAGCATTGGCGGAAAATACGAAAAAAAATTGTCCTTGTCCATTGCTTGACCGTAATTGCCATCGTGCTGAAGAGATGATTTGTTCTTCATTGCATACAAAGTCTTAGAAGAATGGGGTGTTTTGCTAAATTTAATGAACTTAATTGTCCACCATTTGGCTCGGTTCATTAATGCCGAAGAATAATTAAACACAAGGTTACCGTAAAAAAGTTTACTGATAGCACCTACCTGCCTAATTGTAAAGTGTGTCATTTGTGCAGACTTTAGGCGCATCCAAACCAGCAGTTTCTTGTTAAGTATACAAGTTGCGCAAATTCATAAAAATTCACATTAGTCATAGATTTTTACCTTGTAACTGATTGTCATCAAGTCATCTTCTGGACTCTGATAGAAATCTGCGAAGAATTGACTCATCTTTATTTTTTTATTGTAGGTTTCTAAGGCCATAAGTTTCAGAAAACCACCGCTTTTGAAGACGGTCCAAAATGGAAAATAATTCATATCTGGCAAACGGTTGGAAATATTGCATGTGTCGTAAGGACCTTTTTAACAGAGGATTTCTTCGGTTATGTTTAGGTGTAGCGAGCATGCATGTTTGGATAGGGCTTTGCCCCTAATGGGCATCTGAATGTTCAAAAACTTTATATCTTGGAAACTGCTGAAAATATCGTTTAGCTCCTAATGACCTTTTCGATAGCTCAATTTAGTCTGTTAGGGTTTATCCAAAATTTCTAACCTCTAAAGAGATAGAAGCCAAAATTTCAGCTTTTGCAGGTCTTTGAAGTTTAAACACTCTGTATCTCCCAAATGGCTCAAAATACCCAATCACTTGTTATGACCGTTTCTATAGCGCATCTCGATAGCTTAATTTGTGCTATTAGGGTTTATCCAAAATTTCTAGCCTCTAAAGAGATAGAAGCCAAAATGTCAGCTTTAGCGGGTTTTTAAAAGTTAAACACTCTGTATCTCCGAAATGGAGCGAATTATCCAATCAATCGATATTACCTTTTCAATTGATTGTCTCCATAGCCCAGTTTTACCTAGTAAGGTTTATCCAAAATTCCTAACCTGTAAAGCGATAGAAGGCAAAATTCCAACTTTTGCAGGTCTTTGAAGTTTAAACACTCTGTATCTCCGAAATGGGGCAAAATACCCGTTCACTTGTTACGACCTTTTCGATAGCGCATGTGGATAGCTTAATTTGAGCTAATAGGGTTTATCCAAAATTTCTAGCCTCTAAAGAGATAGAACCCAAAATGTCAGCTTTTGGAGGTTTTTAAAGGTTAAACACTCTGTATCTCTGAAATAGCGCGAATTATCCAATCAATCGACATAACCTTTTGAATTTCTTGTCTTCCTAGCCGAGTTTTAACTACTAAGGTTTATCCAAAATTCCTAACCTGTAAAGAGATAGACGCCAAAATAACAGCTTTTGTGGGTCTTCGCAGTTTAAACACTCTGTATCTCCAGAATGGCGCGAAATATCCAATCAGTCATTATGGCCTTTTCGAAAGCTTATCCTTAGAACTGTTTTTCGCCAGAAAGATTTTATTAGAATTTCCTAACCTTTAAAAAGGTAGAAGTAAAAATAAATTAGATCTTATCTCGAAAACCGTTGAACATATTTGGTTAATCATTAGTGCCATCCCGTTAGGTCATTTTGACTATCTTATATTCATAAGAGTTAACCGATGACCGACGAAATTTTATTTCTTTTGTCACATTTTAATTTATATCTCATAAACGGTTAGATTTATCTAAAAAGTTATTAGGACCTTTTCGATAAAGAATCTCAAAAGCCACATTTTTCTTTTAAGGCTTTATCCAAAATTTGCTGGGGTTTCAAAGTTAGAAGCAAAAATGCCAACATTTTGGCGCTTGTTCAAGTTCATGAGATTATATTGGGAAACCGCCCAGAATACTTTATGAATCCTGAGGACAACTTGGATATTGGGGGGCTTTAAAAGCTAAATTTTGCTTTTGAAGAGCAACCCAAAATTTCTAACCTTTAAAGACGCAAGGCTAAATTTTGATAAAGATCGTATCTCTGAAAAGATTGAAAATATCTAAAAATGAGAACAGAGAGAAGAAGATAAGTTTTGTCTCTGTAGTTTATCAAAAGTTGTTCACGTCTAAAAAGATGAAAGCAAAAAATCATCATCTTTTGATCTTAAGTCATGCTCCCAGTGCGGCAAAGAAGAACGAAGTTACACGGTTATGGACAGTTTGCATTGAAAACAAAGCTCATTTACTTGCATTCCGCGTAAAACCCAAATAAATAAAAACCACCCAGAAAATCAATGAAAACTTATATTGCCGCTGATAAATGTTGATTCAACGAATGAGCAAATACTGGCGATTTATGATAGCTGTCACTGCGAAGAGGTAAAACCCTTATTTGTCGACCATAAAAGACGCGAGCAAAGTGGAGAGAACGAGCCTCATGCAGTCGCACATGAAATGTTCGGGTTTTCCCCTTGAATTTAAAATATTGATTCGGATTGCAAACGTTCTGTGTTAAAGGATTTGCCAAGTATTCACTCGCACCAACTTTTGGAAAAATGCAATGGACCTTTGATATGTTTTCGGATCGTTGAAAGGCCCTCGACTTTATCCAACTGTATCGATCGACTGTGGCCCACTTGTTGCATCCAGGCGATGTTTGCTTGGTTCCTAGAGGAGCGCAAGGTTCGATGAGGAAAAAAATGGAAATTCTCCAAGGACCGGAATACCATCAGGCCTGCGGATGACGCCGCCGGTTGCAGAAAGTACAGAAAATAGTTGCGGCGACGATCTCCAAGTGACTGACTCTACACACCGCGCAGACCAATCACAACCCACCTTTCCCATGGTCGCCGCGAAGCTAAGAGGCTTGCAACTCTTAAGTCAGTTAGTCTATCTTAAGACTTCTTCGTGAGTAGCTAGTGCGCTAACGTGACCGTGGAGTGATAGGGCTCACACAGCCCTGGCTGAATTCGCCATGGCGACTGGTAAGTCTTTTCCGCCGACCACTAACTCACCCTCTCACCACTCCAACCCCATCATTTGCTCGGGCACTCTTTGAGTGCCCGTTGAGTGGGAAGTGACCAGAACTCCACCAAGGATTAACTCGTGAGTGAAACAGTGCCGGTTTATTTTACAATCCTGTCGCAGACACCGATTCTGAACCATCTGAGAGGAGAAATCCGCCGACCTAAATTTCAGTGCGTTCGCAACTTGGAACATATTGTGACTTTCAAGACTGGTTCTGCACAGGCCTCTTTCAATGGTGTGGCTCGCGCATTTACCACTTGAATCCTGCGAATCCTGCTCGTTCCATCCCAACCGATCTGCTAACTGATTTTAGGCTAGAGAGTACAACGCGCGATGAGACACAACCGAATTAATGCAAATGTTAAAATTGATGATCGAGTGATCGAAAAACAAGCCAAGTTTATTGATTAGATTCAATCGTTTTTGAAGCTAAACTGGTTTTCCTAACTGGTTTTGTTTCAAAGTCGTTTGCAAATTCAAATCTTCGATAATTCAACACTTTCCTGCTAAGTTCGACCAACAACTGGGTTCCTGAATCTGATTTTAAACACAAGCGTCTTCACAGGTGACTTGCTGGGAAAAATCCGAAAAAGTCACACTTTTATGCGCTTGATTTGAAGCCTGCCAATTTTTAAACAGCTCTTTTTGCAAGTGCAAAATTTCGCCTCATCCGCCGTAAATAAACGGCAATTTTTTCGTTTTCTCTCAGTGGATTTGGCCGTAAAATCGCCCAAACAATGCCATTAACTCCGGCTGGTTTATCGTCCAATTAGCACTAAATTGAAATTGTCATACCTGAACGTGGGGAATTGGTTATGCAGCAAACAGTAAAATCCTGCAAATTTTCAACTTTTGTCCTTAAAATGCCTGGGAATCATTTTGTTCAGTTCGGAAAAATCTAGACAATGATCCTCGATTTATCGGCTGTAGATCCTCATTTGCATTCGCTTGATTTTGTCGTAAAATTGCCGGCAATTTAATAGTCGTCTAGGCCCTGAAACCTGATCGGGACTGGTTTTCTCGCAATTTTCCATTATCAAAAAGTGTTATTCCAACGGCCATAAATTTCGCTTTCTTCCTCAGCCAAACATGTATTTGTTTGCACCAAATGCAAATTTCCCATTATGCAGCCGCTTTTGCTACCAATGTGGTACATCTATTGAAACAGTCGCTTCATGCTTCTGCATAGTTTACCTGAAAAAGCCGCATCGCAAGAAAAAATCCCCAGAGTGTTTCAAGAGGTGAAACGTATTGTTTTTTCGTTGGGCAATTATGCACAGGGTTACATAAATTATTTATACGTATTTCAAGGTTCAGCTAGCAAAACCCACATGGCTGAGGTGTTTGCAGCTGATATATTATTTCGTTGGAAACCTGCTGTTTTTGTCGTCATCCGTTTGGGCGGTGAAGTTCCTTTTGCTCCAGCTGAGATTTCGGTAGGGAAAACGCGAAAATATTCCACAAGCAAATTGGCAGGGGAAATCTGAATATAACTTACATTAATAGTGGGTTATGAACTGTTTCCTGCAATTGGTTTTTTGTCTGTACCAGTTTCTGCAAGGTCGCAACGGTTGGCGACACCATGAGTAGTACTTGCTGAACGATTTAAACGCGTTCATTTTCCTGCTGAGGAGGATTTCACTCAGAAACTCCTTTGCAGGTTATTGTACTCGGATGGAACTTAAAAAATCGCCCAACTTCCTTTCTCTAGAGACCGATTTTCACATTGTTATCGCATGTTTAATTTACGCCAGTCGTCGGCCTGGCCAACTTTCACTTCGCTTAAACTCTTACTTACTACCATCAAATTGAGGTCTTTATCAAGCGTTCTTCAGAACTGGGTTTGGGACTGTTTTTTGTTGATGTTTTCGCGATTATCGCATTTTTAAGCAAATTGTGAAAGATTCATTTTGGGAATGCCCCTATTTTGGTAAGAAATTCTGGGAAATTTTCCTTTTGAGATTTTGCCTTGAGGCGAATTTCGAATGCTCCCTAATAAGAGGTCTCAAGAAAAACCATTGTAAAGTTCCTGAGAAATTGTTAACTATTTTTAACCGTTTCTGGGTTACAGGGCGTTTTAAGCGTCGACAGACACCAAATTTTTGGTTTGGCTTGTATCTCTTCAGAGGTTAGATTTTTTTCATAACGCTGGGTGGGGAAGACAGGTCTTGAGAGGGGCTATCGAAAAGGTCCTATGAATTTGTTTGATATTTGCAATAGTTTCTGAGATATATGGTATTTTTTGTTCGAGAGTCGCAAATTTTCAAAATTTTGACTTCTATCTCTTTGAGGTTAGAAATTTAGAATCTCAGCTAACAGGCGAAATTATGTTCTCAAGAAGGACTACCGAAAAGTTCTGAGCAATTGAGTGGATATTTTTAACTGTTCCTGAGTTACAGGGTGTTTTAAGCGTCGAGTGTAACCAAATTTTTGGTTTGGCTTCCATCTCTTCAGAGGTTAGGATTTTTTTATAAAACTTGATGGGGAAGACAGATCTTGAAACGGGCTATCGAAAAGGTCCTATGAATTTGTTTAATATTTGCAACAGTTTCTGAGATATACAGTATTTTTTGTTCGAGGGTCACAAATTTTCGAGATTTTGACTTCTGTTTCTATGAGGTTAGAAATTTGGAATCTCAGCTAATAAGCAAAATACACTCTTCAAGAAGCCCTACCGAAAAGTTCTGAGCAATTGAGTAGATATTTTTAACTGTTTCTGAGATACAGGGTGTTTTAAGCGTCGAGTGTCATCAAATTTTTAGTTTGGCTTCTACCTCTTCAGAGGTGAGGATTTTTTTATAAAACTTGATGAGGAAGACAGATCTTGAAACGGGCTATCGAAAAGGTCCTATGAATTTGTTTGATATTTGCAATAGCTTCTGAGATATACAGTATTTTTTGTTCGAGGGTCACAAATTTTCGAGATTTTGACTTCTGTCTTTATGAGGTTAGAAATTTGGAATCCCAGCTAATAAGCAAAATACACACTTCAAGAAGCCCTACCCAAAAGTTCTGAGCAATTGAGTAGATATTTTTAACTGTTTCTGAGATACAGGGTGTTTTAAGCGTCGAGTGTCATCAAATTTTTAGTTTGGCTTCTACCTCTTCAGAGGTGAGGATTTTTTTATAAAACTTGATGAGGAAGACAGATCTTGAAACGGGCTATCGAAAAGGTCCTATGAATTTGTTTGATATTTGCAATAGTTTCTGAGATATACGGTATTTTTTATCCGAGGGTCGCAAACTTTTGAGATTTTGACTTCTGTCTGTATGAGGTTAGAAATTTGGAATCCCAGCTAATAAGCAAAATACACTCTTCAAGAAGCCCTACCGAAAAGTTCTGAGCAATTGAGTGGATATTTTTAACTGTTTCTGAGGTACAGGCTGTTTAAGCATCGAGTGTCACCAAATTTTTTGTTTGGCTTCTACCTCTTCAGAGGTTAGGATTTTTTTATAAAACTTGATGGGGAAGACAGATCTTGAAACGGGCTATCGAAAAGGTCCTACGAATTGGTTTGATATTTGCAATAGTTTCTGAGATATACGGTATTTTATGTTCGAGGACCGCAAATTTTTGAGATTTTGACTTCTGTCTCTCTGAGGTTAGAAATTGAGAATTCCAGCTAATAAGAAAAATGTTGTTCGCAAGAAGGGCTACCTAAAAGTTCTGAACAATTGAGTGAACATTTTTAACCGTTTACGAGGTACGGGGTGTTTTAAGCGTCGAGAATATCTAAATGTGGCCTTTGGTCTCACTTAACACCAATTTTCCTGACATTTATATGAATAACTCTTCACTCTGTACGTGTAGCATCAAACTGAGCTCAAAACCTAAAAGAGCGCTAATTTCTACATAAATCAGTGCTCTTGTTCCACATCGATTTTCCGGCCCGTTCTTGAAAAAAAATAATGAATTCAGTTCCAATTCAGTCAAGAAGTAAAAATAGTAAAACACTCTTTTAGCGTCAATTTCACCTACGTCCACAATAAAATAACTCTTAATTTGTAAAAAACATAGTTCTTGATGTGAATGGCGAGCGCTTTGTTCATATATGGATCGTTCAGTTGGTCAACATTTTCCAGCTGCCTCAACCATCAGGAAAACCGCCAGCAAATCAGTTTTTCCTTAAAAATTAGCGACACTATTGAAGCCTTTTACACACAAGTTTTTACCCGAATTCATCCTATAATTTTGTGATTGTCGTTTATTTTCATTGACTCGCGGTAATTTAAACTACATTAGACTCCTGTGTAATGCTTTGAAGAAATGTATTTGGTACAGTTAGAGCTAATAAGCTCGCAACTGGCCATCAGCGCTCTTTAATGTGAATCTAATGTCTCAATTAAAAGGAAATTTTCGCATCTGAAAAAAAATGTTTTAAATTTGAGTGTTTTCTGGGCGGTTGTTCTCGTTTTGTTAGAACAAAGCGGCGTCTAAACAGCTACTTTAGCCCCAGGGCTTCGTTTATTGCATGATGTAACAGCGTGGTGTTTTGCCATATTTACGATCGGCTGGTCATGTTGGCCCTAAAATATTCCACGTTCTCCTACTACACGCCATTTACCTTCCTTACTTGGCCACTTTACCATATCCCGGAAAATATGGCTCACGACTCTCAGACAGTATTATATTAATACATGCATAATGCACGGCAAAATCATCCTGATATTATCCGAGTATGTGCCCGAAGATTTGCATTGGTCCGTTATAGTTCTGCGAAAAAATTCGCCCATTTAGAGTTTCCATCATCATGTCCCGTTTCTTCTAGTTGAAACCACTGGAACTGGTTTGATCGTCTTAAATGGTAAATACTCAAAATGCGCCGTTACATGAAATCAGCTAATCGTTTAATAAACAGGATGGAATACGTTTAGATGAACAAGTATCTATTGGTCGTGCAATGACACTTAAATTAGACTATGGAAGCAGTTAATTTTCCCGTTTCTTCATTTGGGT